GGATTCGAACCGCCGACCTTTCGATCGGCAAGCCCTAGGCGCTGAGGCCACCCGCGTCCCTAAATTGCTCCATACAAGCTGTGGTTTCATGGTTTCAAGAAGCCTGAACGGCAATAAAGGATGATGCAGGTGAGAGGAGGAGAGTAGATCCCCAGAGGTGGCCAACAATCCTTTTAGCTGTGATTTTATTTATTTTTATTGTAATTTCTTATTTATTAAATTTGTTTACCATCCTTCATCCATAAATCTCGGGGCAGTTCACAACATAACATTACAATATAGAAAGCACAAACTGCATAAAAAATAAGAACAAAAGCAAACCAATAATCCCCCTCCCATAACACATTTAAAAGGGCATTGGAGGGCAACCATCCAATGGCCTGACTGAAGAGGAATGTTTTTGCCCGGTGCCTGAAGGTGTGTAATGAAGGTGCCAGCCGCAACATCCTAGGGAGAGCATTCCACAAATGGGGAGCCACTGCAGAAAAGGCCCATTCTAATGTTGCCTCAGAGGATGATTGACCCCCATTATATCTGCCCTGTCCTTCCCACTTCATCTGTTTCATGAGTTTCTCCATCATATGTTCCACAGGGGGAAATTGTGTGGTCTGAGGGATCTGTAGCCTGATCTTTTTTCACAGTCTTGGAGCTGTTTCTTTAGAGTATCTTCATTTCATCTCTGAGGCAGCACATGCAATTCCCCCCCCCCCCCAGCTGCTGTAAATGTCCCCGAAACAGCGTATAGACCAACACTGCTGTTTTTCTTCAGATGTTAGTAAGATCTTACACAAGAGCAGGAAGCCAAAGAGGATCAATTATGCGTCCTGTTGCACGTCCCTTTCAGGAAATACCATTATTCTCTACTGGTGCTTGCTTAAAAGAAATAATGAGCATGTTTTTAAACAATGGTTGCTGTCCTTTAGCGGGGAAGACATAATATGTTCCTGAGAGTGCTTGGTGTGAGGCTTAATGCTGCTTGAGATGCAGGCGAGTGTAATGTAAGAACAGCTATCACATGTCTGTTCCATTGCCAAGATATGGGTGATAACTAACTCTAGCTATATTCAGAGCAGGCCATTGAAATTAATGGTCCATTAATTCCAGTGGATCTACTCTGAATATCACAAATATAGGGTGATGTGCAAAGTTGTTGTTGTGTCTGGGATTTGTTTGGGCAAAGCAGCACTGTGGCTGTCAATAATTTTAAAGTGTCCCTGGTTGCATATCTTAAAGAGCAGAGTCGGGTCGAATGGCTTAAGGCTGCAATCCTAAAACCATCTCCTCTGGGAAGGGGCCATGGCTTAGTGGTGGAGTGCATGCTGAGAACACGAAAGGCCCAGGGTTCAATCCCTGCCATCTCCAGTTAAAGAGTTCAGGTTAGCAGGTGATGGTGAAAGACCTCTGCCTGTTACCATGGAGAGCCATTGAGAGTCAACTAGTGTTCAGCTGCTGTATTGGGACTAGGGATGGAAGAATCTGTGTTAATTTCAGTTCTCTCCACTTCTCATCTTTTCCAATCTTAAATTTGGTTTCAATCTTAAAATTATGGTTCGCCAGAAGCGGTTTAGTCATGCTGGCCACATGACCTGGAAGCTGTACGCCGGCTTCCTCGGCCAATAAAGCGAGATGAGCGTTGCAACCCCAGAGTCGGTCACAACTGGACCTAATGGTCAGGGGTCCCTTTACCTTTACCTTAAATTTCTGCAGCAGTCTGAAATTTTCTTTTTAAAAAATCCTCAGCTGTGGTGAAATGGCATTGTATTTCTATTTAAATTATAGTAATTTTTTTAAAATATGCATCTACACCTATAAAGCAGCACATGCAAAATTTATGCAAATATGCACCCTCTTTTCTCCTTTTTTTTGGTGAGGCACTTCTCTTTTGGGCAATGTTTATAAGAGGCTACCATAATAATAGGGAACCCTGCACTCAATATATCTGGAGGTGATCAAAGCAGAGGCATGGCGCATGCTTGGGTGATATTTAATGGTAGAGCTATACAGAGTAGACCCAATGAAGTTAATGCACATGATGACAACGCTAGGTTCATTAATGTCAGTGGGTCTACTTTAAGTAGGACTTTACTGAATACCACCCTTTGTTCTGCGACTTTGAGTTCTGCACAGCATTCGTGGTCTGTTTGCTGCAACTTTGTTAATTGGGCAGCTGCTACTTCTGTTTGCTAGCTTGACAATGCCCTCATGGTGAAAAGAAAGTTTGCTCTGTGCTTCCTCCACCCTATGTGGAGCTTACTTCTGTGTACATAAGTAATGTAATGTGTGAATCAGTCCTTATTAGCCCTTTGTAGGGTTCTAGCTGGGGCTGATGGCAGTTGCAGTAAAAAAAAAAAATCTGGAGGGCAACAGTTTAGTGAATACTGCCTTACAGAAACAAGGAATTAGTCATAGAAACAAGGAATCAGTTTTGTTTTGTTGCAGTGGAAACGGCACAGGTAGATTTGCATCCACAAGAGAAGAAATGTTTAAACAGTTTCTGACTCATTGATGCCACATGGTATGAAATAATAGACTGTGCAAAACAGAAGCATATTTATTTTGGAAAATGTTCAACTTGACTATCAAATCCATTTCTGAATGAAGGTGACCTCCTTTGGGGCAGACTTTTTGTTTCAGGTCCAATTTTTGTTCCTTTTGGTGAGAGTGTTTTGCTTAGTACATTTATCAGCTAAATGATAAATCATTCCAAATTTTGTTTCCACACCCAACCTGAACTGATTTCAAATAAAATATTTTTGAGGCTGCCCACTGTGGCTGTGATGAGAGAAGGAAGGCAAACTGTTCAACGTCTTATAACTGTTTATATTTTTGCCGAATGGGAAGATTGAGTTACTCAGTTGAAAACTCAGTATTGCAGTCAACAGGTCTACACATCCTGGAAATGCTACTCCTTGCCATTAGGTGAGGAGCTTCAGATTGCTTTCCATTGCTTTCTGAACATTTGCAGCTCAGGAATTACTCATGAGTAAATGCTCAGCTTGTGGGACTCGACAACTTGTAAGTACAGTGGTACCTCTGGTTGCGAACGGGATCCCTTCTGGAGGCCCGTTCGCAACATGAAAAGAATGCAACCTGCAGCGGCGCATGTGCGGTTTGCAATTTGCTGCTTCTGCGCATGCGCGTGATGTCATTTTTGCCCTTCTGCGCATGCGCGAGCGGCGAAACCTGGAAGTAACCCTTTCCGGTACTTCCGGGTCGCTGTGGGACGTAACCTGAAAGAACGTAACATAAAGCGGACGTAACATGAGGTATGACTGTAGTGGTTGTAAGTAGATTAGCTGCTGGAATAGAGTAGCATGGCAGCCTGGGAATCTTAGAATCATAGAATTGTATCACTGGAAGGGACTCCAGGTGTCATCGAGTCCAACTGCCTGCAATGTAGGAATCACAACTGAAGCATCCCTGACAGACGGCCTTGCAACATCTGCTTTAAAACCTCCAATGAAAGAGGTTTTCTGTAAGCTGATCCTGGCAAGCAAGAAACTTGTGGTCTAGTCCAATATATCTCTTGGGAAAGAGTCTAAAGAAACAGACCCCCTTCCTTGAATGCAATCAATTGTATGGGGATCTGCTTTGCAGATCAACAGGAGGAAAAGACTCTACGCAGCTTGTTATTTGAAGCAGGAGGGTCCTACTTCAGCCAAACTATGAGTAGAATTACTTACAAGTAGGGATAAGGGAGAAAAGTGCGCCTACCTAATGTGAACTTTCCAAAACAATATGCGAATCTTTCGAAATTAAATCCTTATTTGAATTTTGCAATGCAGTTTTCCTGCTGAGTAATGCTTACAAAACTGGATATACTAGATTAGTGTGCGCTTAATATAGGTATGTTACTGGTTAGCATACAAAACCGCATCATATTAGGGGAAATTGTTTTGCAAATATGTGTATATTAGACAAAATCGCACACAATGGTGGTTATATTAGGAGAAATTCACACTACAATGCTGATGAATTTTCAGGAGGACTTAAAAAAATCACAAACAGATGTGGAAATATGGAGAAAAATGAAGAAGTGGCAGATTCAACCATTCCTACTTGCAAACATCCACCCTGCTTTGCTGTTTGAAGTGTAAAGCTTGCTGGGGGCAGTATAAGAGTTTGTGCAAAGTGATGGGTGAGGCAGCAGACAAAATGACAGAGTATGTTGCGATAATTGCTGAAGAACTGCCGACTTCCCTCAACTTATTTTAAACTGTAAATTCAGAGTAATAGTTTACTCAAAATATGTTCGCTTAATCTATTAATAAAAGCAAGCACCCCTATCAAAAATATGGTCAATTCCTTTTTTAAAAAATGCAACATAATTTATGTGAATGAACACCAATGGATAATTAAGACAGGTGAAAAATGTTTGGCATTATTAACTGAAGAATTTTAAACTGATTGAGCATACTTTTCACCTGTGATAAAGAAAAAAAAGAGCAAAATAATATTGATCCCTGGATTTTTCACCACATTTACTGAAAGTATCCTATTTGCTCACTTGGTTAGAGCGTGGTGCTGATAATGTCAATGCTGCAGCTCCGATCCCCATATGTGACAGCTGCATATTCCTGCATTGCTGGGGGTTGGACTAGATGATCCTCAGGGTCCCTTCCAATGCTACAATTCTATGATTCTAAACTACAGATTACAATATACAGAGCTGAAATAAGCCAAGGTACAGGTTTATAGTGAATAATCTCATGGAAACTGAAGCAAATGTTCTGTAAATGCATTTAAATTTAACCACTTGTTTTTTAAACTGGTGTAACTTTCCCCCTGTAATTCTGCTTTTGTACCTGCCCTGTTCCCTTGGCTATGGAGAAATGCACAAGGAGGAGTGGCTTTTACAGATACTCGGAAATTGCTTGCTTGGAAAGCAATTCAGATGCCATGGTGATAGGCTGAGCGTTGGATTCAGAACAATGCACAGAATAGTGTCAATGCCTTGAATTGAAGTGTGTGATAATTACTTTGGTTTCCTCTATTTGTAGATGCTGCAACGATGGAACTGAGCTGCACTGAAGTACCTCTTTATGTAAGTTCCAATGTGTTAGGCTTCTGCCCTAAAAGGTCCTTTTGTTTTCAGGAAGGTCTTACTGAGAAGCAGTGTGAATGAAGCAGAAATTATGTTCCCTGCTTGACAGAGGCTTTAAGCCACTGAATGCTACTATCTCATTTGAGCCGGTGTAGCAGTAGCACTTTTCATGCATATTGGCGCACGTGTTTCTGAAGTAGCTTTGAAATAGTTTTCACGTTCTGACATAAATATTACAGCACTGTTCTATCCTTTCAGCTGGCAGAATTTGGAATGGATATTCTAACTGTGGCAGGAAAATAGCCTCCCTGGTTTTAGAAGATAAACATTTCCATTATGGTAGTTTTTCTTCTTCTTTCTCCTGTCAAAATAGTTCTTTATATCATGCTAGTGACAAGTGAAGGGTATTGTGACTGAGGTTGGCATACAATTGTTAAATCTACAGGCCCAGTTCAGATGTAAGGGGAAACCATGATTTCTCTGTACAATATGGGGCAGCCAATGTGGTGACAACCAAATGTTGCTGTACTACGGTTCCCATTAGCCTGATGGGAGTTGGAATCCAACAACATCCAGAAACACCACCGTGGAACAAGCTATGGAAAGGCTTGAGATTCTGCACTCTCATCTTGTTTCTACTCTTCTTTTAGGTACCAGAAGTGGAGACTGGGAGTTTCTGCTCCCAGTTTAAGCTAAACCCAGTTTCCCATAGTGTTCAAACTCTGGGAACTTGGGTTTGTTTAAACTGTAATTTATTATACAGACCAGGATTGGAAACCATGGTTTGACCAGGGTTTGTTCTCACTAACTAGAGCAGGGATGGGAAGCCTGTGGTCCTTAGTCCAATTTTATGCACACCTCAGCTTAATTTCAGGAGGGGACAGAAGGAAGGTGGTGTTGGTGGGAAAGCCAGAATGGATGGAGTGATTGGAAAAAGAGGCAGTAAAACCTTTCTAAACAGTTGTCTGTATTATTATTACACAACTGCTTTTATTAATAGTTTTGGGTTTAAAATGCATGTTTTCAGTTTAGTTTGCCGGTGGTTTTTTTGTTTTTTGTTTGCTTTCAGTCGGGCTCTTGCTGAGTTAATGACACCTTACAGTGCAACGCTATGCATTCTTACACAGAAGTAAGTCTGACTGATTCAGTGTGATTTGCTCCTTAGTTAGTTTGCATAGGATTAAGCAGTGGTGTCCAAACTTTTTTCAGTGAAGGCCAGATTTGATGAAGTGAAGGGTCATGAGGGCCAACCAAACTTGTTGAACTTTTTTTAGGGTTGGAATTGTGGAATTGTTGAGATTTGGACACGCCTGGATTATCAAGGCAATCCTAACTATAGGAAGCCAGTTTAACAAAGACTGGCCTAACTTACCCCTATTGCAAACTCCATTGAGGAGCCTCTGGGAGGGGCTACTGCTGGTTGAGCTGGCGGGTGAGTGTGGGCCTGAGTTTTGAGGATTGCTCCCTAGGTCACATGACTGAGGTGAGCAGGTTTTGGAATAGGTGCAAGTCTCTCCTTCCTCCTTCCTGTCCCTTCCTGGAATGCCCCCTTTCTTGGGACTTTCACTAGCATAACTTATGCTGGCTTAAGTTCTGCTGCCTGAGCCTATGTCCCTTTACATACTTTGTGCCCTCGTGTTTTGGCCTGAATGCTGGAATAGGGCTTTAAAACAAAACAAATAAAAAATGTAAATGCTATAAATAAACCATTCTCTAAAAATTTCCAAAAACTGTATCATCGCTTTATAATTGTAGGCATCCTGGTTTATTATGAGCAGGTGCACACAGAGAATATCAGTCACAATTGCCCCACTGATGAAACAGCAAAATGTTGTGCCAAGGCTGGCCCATCGCTGGCTTCTAAAGCAGTATATAAACCACTTGGGAGTTCCTTCCATTAGAGAAACTCCTGCCTTATTAGTGTGCCTTTCATGGGATACACAATCAGACCTGTATTTAAATTAGGCACTGAGAGTGGTTCCTTTGTCCTTTCTCATGGAATAGATTTCTGACCTGTTGTGTTTGGTTGAAATTCTATACATTTGGGTTTCTGAAGACTACAAAGTGTCACGATATTTTTCTAAGGCAGATGATGAAAATGTTCTTTTACTTGAGTTTCCATCCTTTTTGTAAAGTGGGGTAGAATCCACATAACTTCGAAAAAATTGATACTTTCGAACCAGATGCAGACAGGACTTCAGATCTGATTTTTCAGAGGAGGCAGATTGTTTCAGTTGAGGCTGATTATTTATGTTGACTTACTGCACCAGGAAGAAATTGACTTAAACATAACTCTGTCAGGTGAGTCAATAAAAATATTGTCTTGAAAACTAGCAAGATGGAAGTCAAAGGGAAGTTGTTGAGTTCAGTGTTTTAAGTTGAGAACTGTGTTGAATGTGGAGTGCACAGGTTTTGAGTCAACTTCAGCCTTAAACAAACGTCATTTTATGAGGTCTGAAGGAGATTATCTGCAACAGACTGGTGTCATAGATTGACAGTGTTTGAGGTGAATAATTTAAGACAATAAAATATTTTTATAAAAGCCAGTAACTTCATCATGACAAACTGATGCTTTTTATTTTTATAACTGTCATGCTTATTGAGGTAGTCGAATTCTGATTTTGTTGTTGTCACTATAGAATTAATTTATTTTCCAGAAATCATGTAGTTACAGTGGGCACAATCCCCCATGCAGGCAGAGGTTACTGATAGGACTATATCTATACCTACAAACATTCATGGATATGTGTGTCATGGAAGCAGTGTGATGGGAGAGAGAAGAAACAAGAGTCTAAGGAAGGGATAGCTAACAACCATTTAGGACTACAACTCCCAGCATTCCTGCCCATTGGTTACACTGGCTGGGGCTGAAAGTAGTTGTAGTCCAAAAGAGTCCAAAGTAGTTGTAGTCCAAAAGAGCTGGAGGACACCAGTATAAGGTCTGTGCACAGACCCTTCTTATCCTTATCCATCCCTCTCCCAGCCTTGGAGAACAATTAATTTGTAAGGCATGGAAAGGGAGGGATATAGAAGGCATGGACTGGTATTCCTTCCAACATCCATTGTGTGGCCTTTATGTGTGTGTGTGTGTGTGTGTGTGTGTGTGTGTGTTTGTGTGTGTGTGTGTGTGTGAGAGAGAGAGAGAGAGAGAGAGAGAAAACAACAACAACAACCAGGCTGTATTGGATCCTTCCATCTGCAGGCTCTGCAGCCACAGTGCAAGTGGATTATTGAATCAAAGATATAATTAAATGGAGTTGCTTATGCATCACATATCATGCTGTTAATTGTGGCTCAGGAGAGACAGTACTATCTGCCACAATCTAATTAACCCAGAGACACATATAACCATCTCTTTGGTATTGAATTCATCATAGCCTTCCACCTCCCCTTCAAGCTGTGTGGCAAATTGCTTTAGAAACTCATGGCTGGTTCACATCATTCCCTGATATAGTATGGCGGTGGGCAAAGGAAGAAAGGAAGTTGTGCATTCCCACTGGCCGCATGGGAGAATCTGAGTGCATGGAACAGGTTTTCCCGATTGTGGTCACTGTAAATAAATACTGATCTCATAGGAACAGACGAAGCTGGTCAGACTATTTGTTCATCTAGCTCAGTGTTGTTTAGTGCAGGGATGGGGAGCCTGCGGACCTCCAGATGTTGTTGGACTTCTGGTTCCATCAGCCTCTGCCAGCATAGTAAATGACCAAGGATGACGGGAGCTGTAATTCATGGTCACTGGTTCCCTATTCTGCTTGTTGGCATTTGGAGCTAAAGCTCTCCTCAGAAGTTGAACTTCATGCTGAGTCCCTGTTGGAGGAGTGTGTTTTACCCTGGATAAAAGCACACTGAGCTTCTGAGTTTAGGAAAGTAAGAAATCTACATTTATTTACTAGAAAGGCATACTTGATAGGAAAGTTCCAAGTTGTATCTAACTGAGGTGGAGATTCCTTGAGCTATGCTTTCCCTTGCGTCTCAGCAGCAGAGACACACAAAATGTCTCCTCTCCCAAGGTGAGGATGAAGATGGAAGTAGAAAATGAGGTCAGTATGAGTATCAGTTTAGCACCTCATGGAAGGTCAGCATCGGCTAGGTCAGAAAGGACAGTCTAGGAAAGTTGGAGGTTTCTTTGTCTCTCTTCTACTCTTTCCCATACAGACACATCAGTGTCCAGTACAAACCTCTTTTAGCTGGAGATGCCAGTGACTGACCCACTAACTCTACAATGGAGCTCTGGTCCCTCCCCAAGGTCCTAGTCATTTAAAAGAGTCAATTGGCATAGTAAGACGGATGAGAAACCTAATATAGTTTTTCAAATCTCTTTAAGACAAGAGGAGTACAGTCAGACCTCGGCTCCTGAATGGCTCCGTTTTGGAACGTTTTGGTTCCTGAACGCCGAAAACCCAGAAGTAAATGCTCTGGTTTTCAAACATTTTTCAGAAGCCAAATGTCCGATGTGGCTTCATCTGAGTGCAGGAAACTCTTGCAACCAATCGGAAGCCACGATTTGGTTGTCAAACGTTTCGGAAGCCTTCCGGAACAGATTATGTTAGACAACTGAGGTTTGACTGTAATGAACATCTCTGGCCTTTCCACACAGATCAGACATCCCAGAGGGTAAGCACAAGCCCTTTGGCATGCTTGAAACCCAACAACCACCTGCTATTATGTAAAATGCCTATTATGTAAGAGGACTTGCACTGCATTTAGCAATGATCACCTTGTTTTAGAAACAGCATCACCCCATTTTCTATTTATGCAAGGATTTGGATAAAATTTGGCCCAGGGTTGGGGAGGTCATTTGAATGCTGGGCCTATGTTCTGAGCCCATGCAAAGTGCTTTTCCTTAACTACTGAGTGACTGCAGCTCAGCCTACACATTTGGAATTAGGAAGGCTTTGTGTTCATCTCACACAAAGTTAGATTTTAATTCTCAAGCTCAGTCATGAGCACTGGCACACGTTTCAGAGAATGCAGTTGGCCCTTTCAGAATAATGTTA